AACCCCTGAATTCTTTTCTTTCTTACCTTATGAAGATTTCCTCTTTATTTATTGCACATTCACTGTCGGCAGCTGTTAAGTCTTTGAAATACAAGGCTTAGTCAACATAGCTTTGTCTTAAGGATTGGAATACTCAAGAAATAAACCGAATGCAAAACTTTATGTATGGAAGCAGTCAACTGATTTTGACAAAAGTGCAAAGAACATGCAAGGAATAATACTAGGAAAACTAGACTATCGTCATGATGAATAATGAATTAGATGTTTATCTCATACAAAAAATACTCAAAATGAAGAACTAAACATAAGACCCAAAGCTATAAAATTACTGAAAGAAAACAGGGGGAAAGCTCCATGACATTGGTCAGGACAATGACTTTCTTGGATAAAACCTAAAATGCAAAGACAAAAGAAGCGAAAAGGAGACAAAGGGAGTTGCATAAAACTAAAAAGCTTCTTAATAGTAAAGAAAATAGTAAACCAGTTGAAGAGGTACCATATAGAATAGGAAAAAAAAATTACAAACTGCACATCTGGTGGTTGTTACGTTTCTCAGTACGATTGAACTTCTCTTCTACCAATGCACACTCACAGACAAGTTCTGAATGTTCCAAATAGATCCCCAAAAGATTTTAGAAATTCCCAAAGCAAGCAAGAGTTAGCTTTCATATTTTTCCTTTTAGTTCTCTGAAGAACTTTCATGCCTTCTTCTTCTTCTAGAGCGTCTAAGGAAAAGGGTCTGTTTGACTAGTAATAAAAAATCCATTATCTGAATCACTACATTTATTTATTAGTTCTATCATTTGAAAGCTCGTTGGTACATTTTCTTTAAGATTTTACTACTTTCTCTCTCCTTTTGTGCTTGTAAAAAAAAGCCAGAATTTACTTCCATTTTTCATATCCCAATGACACATTATACGTGAGGATACAAGCAACTTCCGCTTTTTTTAAATGGAAGATATATAGTCCAAAACAAATCCTCTGATGAAGCATGAATCAATTTCAGATTTATGCTTCATGTCCATGATCTCTACCACGAAGAGACTGATAGGTTCATCTTATTTTTTCAGTAGCAATTACCACTTCCAATCAGCTTCATTATGATACATCAATTCTATTTCTGCCTGATAACATGTATTCACCCTAAGGTACACTAGCATTGTTTGACATGTATAGCTTTGTCATCCTTTACAGATGAATTCTTTCATTTTGTTTGAGTGAAAACTTTTAACCTTTTGTCTTCATCTTTGAAAAAAATGTTTGTCCTGGGTACAGAATAACAGGTGGTAGATTCTCTGAGTACTTCAATGCTGTTGCTTGAGAGTGCTCATTCCTTTTCATCTTTTTTCCCTAATTTCTTTACATTTTTTTACTTTCCACTTGTTTTCAGCACCTTGATCATGATGTATCCCTTTTCTTGAACCATAGTTTCACTGAATTTCCAGAGTCTGAGCATAGGTAGTTTTCATTAGATTTGAAAATGTTTTCACCATTGTATCGCTACATATTTTTTCAGTTTCTTCAAAGCACCCTGGCATATGAAATTTAATAGGCCCCTTCAAATTTTCTCATAAGTCACTGGTACTGTTTAACTTTTGATAGTTTTCATTCTCTTTTTTATTTTTTATAGTATGCCTTCAAGCCCATTACTCTTTCCTTCTGTAATGCTTGGTTGGCCAATAATTCAATCTAGTGTATTTTTCATCTCTAGAAGTTTAAATAAAAAAATAAACCCATGTTTCTAATTAGTAAGCTCAATTTTATCTACAGCTCTTCTAATATATGGAATATAGTCATCACCATTATTTTAATATCCTAGACTACTGATTCTAACACTGGTGACACTTATGGGTTTATTTTAACTGATTAATTTTTTCCCTCAGTTATCTGCTTTTTGCATTCATCATATTTTTTGACTGGATACATACAGTGTGAGTTTTGCTTTGGTAGATGCTCAAAAATTCTTATAAATATTCTTTAGTGTTTACTTCAGAGCTCATATTGTTCCACTAGTGAAGGAAGACCTTTCAGCATGTTTTCCCTAATAATTCGTAATTGTGAGGTTTTCTCATCTGTGAGAGGATAGACATTATTTTTAGGCCTGAGTGTGCCAAAGGTACCATATCATGTCCTCCAGTACTCCACCTGAGGTCTCCAGACTTTACTTTCTCAAAAGCGATTAGATAAAATTTGAAATCAAAAGACCTGGATTAGAGCTGAAACACTGGCCTCTGTTGAGACGAAGAGGGCCAGTAGAGCTGCAGGAATACAGCTAGGGAGTCACATTTCCAAGCCTTCCCAAAGGTGGCTCTTTCTAAAGATAAATTTCCCCTAGTATATCTGTGAAGGGAGCTTTCTAATCAAGGCTTAGTGCTGATGAGAATATTGAAAAAAATCAACCAGAATATTTTTTTTCCTGTTGAAATTCTGCTTCAAAGATACATTACAAGACTTAAACAAATTCCACCATCCCAGACCAGCATTAATCTGTAGTCTAAAGTAGCTTATGTGTAGAATGGCAGCAAGAACATCCTGGCACAGGCAATGCATTCCTTACATCCAGGGAGACAAGTCTGATTGCTGATAAGGTGGGTGGGAGGCTTCAGATATCCGAGAAGTGCTGGTAAGAATAACATATCGGGTGGCGTCATTATGCTGTAATAATTCTGAGTACTGAAAGTCTTTCCTTTATGAACAAAATTGATGCTGTGTTTAGAACATTAGAGACTTAATTGCCTCTGAATATCTTAAGAGGTCAGAGGTCTATGCCTTGGAGTGGGTAACGTGGGAAAAGCCACCAGCCAATGCAATCATTTTAAGTTCATCTCTTCCTATTTTTTCCCTTCACATATATACAAACAATAACCTTCCATATTTCTCAGGAGATGAGAGCCTAGGCCCAGCTCAGCTTTTCTTTGAGTCAGCTATTTCTGTGTCAGCTAGGTTGAGCAAGACAGGATATTCACTACTCTCAGCACAGTGCCTAGAATGTAGGAAGACGTTCACTAAGCAAGGCTAACTCTTCCGAAACAAGGCTGACGGACTTGTCTGTTCCTTCACCCGGCCCTGAATGTGGATCCCCATGAAGGTAGCACCAAGCTCTTCAGAAAGCTCCTAGTAGGGGGTGTGAGGGCTTCACAGTGCGAGTGACTGTAGGACTGCGCCCCTAGAAAGGAGTCTGTACAGCAGTGTGGGATGGCCAGGGAGGGCCTCCAGCTCAGACACAAGGGACTTCCAGACCATCAGACTCTTGTGAGATTTTGTATGTGGACCCAGTTTTTTTGGAGGGCAAAGCTATCCGGGATGAAGAAAGGAATTTAAGTTAAAAGTTAGTTGGTTTTCTTAGCCCCAAATCTCACTGGGATGTAAGCCTGACTCTTACTTATTATTTATAATCCTCTTTTGTGAAAGAACCATGCTACTTATAAACACAAAAATGAACAGTTCTAAATATAAAGACCATGGAACTGATTATCCATTGTCTTTCATCTTACTGAAAGAAAGATACAGAAAGAAGGGGGTTCCTTGAAAATGTAATCGTCCCTGGTTCTTTAAGAATATGGTTTTCTAAATGTTTGCTTTATAAGGAACAGCTGAGGGCCCGTCCACTGCGTAAAGCAAACTGTGCATTTGAGTTATCTAGCTGAATTACTATTAAGGCAGTCCAGTGTAAAATCCTAGAACATGTACCCTCCTATCCCAAATAGTTTCTTTTATCACATGAGTGCCTCTGCAGTGCAACCACAGAAACAAAGAAAATGCACACTACAAAGTGACCAAAGATACTTTATATTAAGGTAACATGCTATTGTGAAAAGGAAAATCTTGTATATTTTATCCAGAAAAAAATCATTTTCCTTTATAGTTATCTTAAAGGATATCTAAGGCTTTGAATAATTGTATACAAAAGTGAAAAGACAAAATGCACACTAATTCTTCAAAGCTGTATTGCTTACTAAGTATATCAGCTACTCAGTCAAAACTGGCCGGGTTAAATCTGCCCTAAGAATAAATTTACTTCTTCTAGGGAGCTAAAATGATACAAAATAATGACTTAGTGTTGTAACAAAATTCTGTCAATTTTATTAAAAGCAGATTTAATTTCTTGACATAGTTAAGTAAGTTTCTTTTTTAAAAAACCCATTTAATCGTATTATTTCATAGGATTTCAGTTGGCTCAGCGAGACCATCACTGATAAAGACACATACAAAGTTAGCACCACATATCTCTAAATGCAGATGACCATTACAAGCTTTCCAATATGTACAGGCTCCCTTGTACATCCACATATATATTTACAGCTAATAAATAAAATATAAAGCCCAAGCGTCACTGATATATATTGCCATATATATATATGTATATATATATAGCAAAGTCTATAGAAGCTAGTTTCCAGTGCCATGCACTGATTTGCAGAATCTTTTAAGTTTATGCACCTTTGATCAAAACCCAAATCCAGAAAATCAGTTAATTAGCAATAAAGGGGATGCCAATGACAAATCATACATCATTTTATTGTTAGAGAGAATTCATTGCAAGCCTGATGGAGTTAATCACAGCCTTTGTGCTACATTATAGAGGTATAATTATCTTTTTCTAATACAGGGCTGATTTTCTGACACATCTGAAATGATTTCTACTCCAATATGACTCAATACATCCCTTGATTGGTTAGGTTCCAAATCATGCTGAATGACAAGCTTCATTGTGGGGCTTCATATGTGAGTGTGTGTTCAGACACCCACACACCTTCACAGATTGGGTTCCCAGCAATAACCTCTGAGACATATGGCTTTGTCATTTTACATTAACATATAGAAAAGCATTCTGAAAATATGAGATCTAGCTTACAAATAATTGTTCACTCACTCTTGATTCGTTGTTAAAAACAATAACAACAGCCCTGATGGCACTTTGTGTGGCTACAGAAATCAAGGATTCTCTTCCTCATGTACAATGGTTGATAAGTATTGCTTATTGATAGACCCCAGGAACATTTTTCTTGCCTAAAATTTGTACTGTGCATGATGAAGATTTGAACTTGAACACATCCAAGCCAGAAATGAAGAGCTATGCTCAAACTATGACTGGGTCATGATCATGGTAAGCCTAAAACTAAATAGTTAAGTACCAGATGGTAAATGATTAGACAACTTGAAAAATCTGAAAATACAAGCATGATTAGTTTCTTTTTCCACTGCCCAAATTGTGTGTCAGCTGAGGATTGACAAATCCATTTTCAACATCTATCTAGAGAACATTGTTAAAATATAATATTAATACAAAGAACAAAAATAGGACAGGGAGATTAGGAAATAAAATCACCTGTAACTTTGTCATGATGCAAGTCAGGGGGCCAAAGCTCAGTACTTCACTGGCCTCATTCTCTCTCCCTCTCTCCCTGTCACCTCCTAGGTTAACTCCTGGGCCACCTTCCAGTGGCAGGAGAACCATTCTAAAAGATCAGACATTTTCACTGCCAAATAAATAGATCTGAAATGATCATGCTACAGAATACCATTTTCTATATTGTGACTTAAGGAGGCTTCCATCTCCAAAACCCAGCATTTAATTAAAATTGGCAGTTCTAACTAATTTTTGACCATAGCCAAACCAGCCACATGAAGAAGCTGTATTTTACTATTGGGCACAAACATTTTTTTCCCCTTAAAAGACAAAATGCAGCGACTACTATCTTTTAATGCTGGAGGATGTGCAATTTGGCCACTAGAGTCCTTGAATTGAATTAGTCAGTTTTTAGTATTTGAGATTGTCTTCTAATTTAACTAAGAAGGGTATAGCTGGGAGTAATGCTTAGGGAAATCAACTTTTAAACACCCAAAGCAATGGACATCGTTCATAAAATTCACTTTGTTTGCTTCATTCTTCACAGAGTTCATACGCCAGTCTTCTTTCTGTATACTCGCCCAGTGTCTGAGAAAAAAACAACAGAAGAAGGCAACTTAAGGTCTGCTTAGTGTTCTACAATCCCTTCCCCTCTCCACCACCTCAGAGCCAGAGTTAGAAGAACAGACCCAGGGAGATGCTGACAATGGATCAGAGGAAGTGGTAGGCCCCTGAGAAAAACATGCTAACATCTTTGTAGCCAAGGCTGAAGAAGGATATCAATTTCAGAGGACAGAGCCAAATGATTTCAAAAGTTACAGGGATTTCCTCCTTCCAAAATTTGCCTAAGGAAAGGCCTATTTCATTATTTTCTTGTGATATGAGATTTCTGAGGAGTTAGCAGAAGCTGCTAGAAAAGGGGTCTTTTGTTTCATTGATGTTTGGTCACAGTGGAAAGAAACCTCAGAATATTATTAGTCTGATTCACAATTACCTCCTAGTTAAGATGCATTTTTAATAAGGCTGCCTAAATACAGTAATTCTACAATTACACAAGGATGCATCATGAAACTTTCTCTGTTAGATTCTGGCAGTTTATATAAATAGTATCACCAGAGGTGTGTTATAAAAGAGCTGGAGTTATTTCCTGACTTGGGAGTCTTTGTTTTTACATTCACATATGGATTTAAATTGCAAATAGTTTGGGGAGAAGATGTGTGTGTGTTATTTGTGTATAACTTAAATGCTTTTTATAAATCTTAGGAGAGTCTCCTTCTAAGAACTGAAGCAAGTGTGAAATTGCCTCAGGTCTGTGATGAGTGAGACCCTTAGAAGAAAAGAGTCCATTTACGTAAAAATTGAATTATTCTGCCTGGCTCAATACCAGGAATACCTTTCATCTCAAATCAGTCAGATGACTTCAGCTTGCCATTCAAAGTGTATATATCATAATTCCATTTTTATAGAAGATGAAAAGCATGTAAATATTATATATGAAGTATGAACGAATCAAAGTATTAGTTGGAGTTGCCCACAAGTCATAGGATTATAGAATTGTTTAATCTATTTCTGTTAATCTACTCATAGAGAGCACGAATAAATTATATTATGAGGTAGAAATTTAAATAGAGATGTTCCACATTGGGTCTTTAATATCCATTTTCTCTATAGGCAATTCTTACTGTACTCTTGTCTACAAATGTAAGTAGGAGAAGTTAAAGCAAAAGCATTCGCTTTTTCTATTTCCAGATGACACCATGGCCAGTCTTTGCCATTGTCACTGGCTTGCATAGCACGACCTGATATTTCTCCTCTTTATACACGTAATCCATTAGCGCTTGGCACCTGGCATGGGGACCAGTAGTGGAATGCGAACGACATATCCTGAGGACTCAGGAGGGGATGGGGACAGTCACATGCTTGGTCTCCACTTAGAACTGACGTTGTGAAAAGATCCCACTGACAGCTGCTCTGGGGATTAGCCTTAAAGGTCAGGTAGAAATGAGCCAGCGGTTGTTCTGAGATAGAAAGGAGAAGACTCCTCCACACTCACATCCTGCTATCTCCCCATCTTTGGAGGTCTAGAGGGGGGGTTGGGGGGCCTGTCCCTTTGATTCTGTGACCTAGAGTCTGCCAGTGCTTGGAGAATCAGACTGTGTGGCTTCAGCTGATGCAATAAGATATTTTTATCCCTGGAAACATCCTGGGAAGTTGCCATACCTGTGGCAGCAAGTATCTACCCTGTGGCAGATGCTCTGCAGACATTATTTGCAATTGTAGGAGAGGTACAGGAATGGAAAAAACAAAAAGGAAGATCTGCTTTGAGAAGTAAAATAGATGCCAAATTGTTCACTAGGAATGAAGGCCAAGACAAAGAAAAGAAAGAGGTATCACAAAAAAGCAAATGGGCCTGGAGGTTCTGACCACAAGACTCAGCTCAGGACGCTGGCTATAGGTGAAGAGCAGAGCTGAGGCTGCCCTACTGCAGAGGCGCAGAGACCTCTGGTCTAAAATGCTTACCAGCCAGACTTCTTAATCAGAGATTTGTCGTGGCATTTCACGAACACCGCAGAGCCCTTGCCCTTCTGCAGTTTTGACACTTTCTCCCTGGAACAGAACATCATCCTGCAGGAGAAAAGAGATGTGAACATACCATGTAAAACAAGGAGAACAGGTGTTCTAAAATGTGCTGATCTGTCGGGGCTAAACAGGTGCTCCATAATCATGCTGGCAAATTGTGCTGGTGTTTCCAACATTTAACTCTGGCCACGTCTCAACCAGGGGGTTATCAGACAGCCTGGTTCAGTTCGGCAAATGAGCAGGCTAACCAATCTAGACAGGCAGGCAGACAGCTCGGAACCGCCTGAAAATCACCCACACTCGGACCAAGAGATGACACAAAAGCAGCTTCACCTCCTCTCTGTGTCCACATTAGTGAGACAGCAACTCAGCCTCCAACTTGTCCTGCTGGAGGTTGAAGGTTCTACACAGCTTTTCCACCTACCACATTTTTTTTTTTTTAGTATAAAAGCAAATGATGAAGGAGAAATAATTTCTCAATTCCAACTTAAGGAGTTATTTTTATGAATGATAATCTCCTACTACAGCGTGCCAAACCCCTGCACATTTAGTACATAAGTTTTAAATCCAAGGAGGCTGTCTGTGCCATCCATTTCACAGACACGTGGGACAGAGCTGAAGGGACAGGATGGAATTTTCTGAGTCCATTCTTCTTGAAGAGGTTGGTTTCAAGTCTTTAAGTGCTGAAGTTACATTTCTGACAATTGAGATTTTTAACATCTATCCTTGATCTAACTCCACATAACTGGGACCAATTCAAGGATTATATTTTCTTTCCTTCATTCTTTTTTTGTTCTCTGGTACTGGGGATCAAACTCAGGATCTTGCACTTGTAAGGCAGGCATGGTGCCACTGAGCTAAATCCAAAGCCCTATATTTTCTTTCTCTAAATGCACAGATCTTAAAGTTTCAGTGTCTCTAATCTAAAAATCTGAAATCCAAAATGTCCCCTAATGGAAAACTCCTTAAGCCCCAACATGGTATCACAAATGCAAAATGCCACACATGACTGCATAAGGGAGGCTCACGGCCAAAATACAGGCGCACTGGAAACGCTGGGTAAAACTGGCCCAGGCTAAGTGTGTAAGGTGTATGTGAGGCGTAAGTGAATTTCATGTTTAGACTTGGGTCACATCCCTAAGATACCTCATTATGTCTATGCAAATATTCCAATATATGAAACAAGTGAAAATCTGAAACACTGCTGGTCCCACGAATAAGGGACACCCAACCTGCATTTCTTCCCCAGTGTGATAATAAAAGAATAACCCTAAAACACAGTAAGTGTAATGATCCAGGTTAGGCAGTACTAACACAAGGCGTGCTAAAGTTTCACCTGAGTGGGAAACTTCCTGATATGCCATCCCTGAGCGAAAACATTAGCATCCCGAGTGAGTGGGCCAGGATCGGGGGACTCACTTCTTTTGCGTCTCTCCCGCCTTGATTCTGATCCTCTCGATGGTGAAGCTAGGTCTGCTCCACCAGTTTGACCAGTCAAAGTAGGAGTCGCTCTTCCACTTGAGCTTCAGCATCAGGAGCTCTCCGATGTCCACCTCTGTGTAGATCAGGAAGGAGTACGTCTTATTCGTGGACACTTCGGGCCTGAATAACAATTCCACGACTGGGGTTAATTTCGAAAATCAACTTCTCTTGCCTTTTCTGTCCCCCCAGGATGTAGTAAGTAGCTTTATTGTTTGGGAGATGGTTTTAAAATGCAAAAAATTGTCCAGCAAAATACTCGAGGTGAATGTCAAAGACATTTATTATATTGTAAAAATACCTCTGCCCCTTTGATGTCTTTCAGAATTTAGCCTAATAACATGAACTATGTAATACACTTCTTAAGAGAAACAATCCACTAGCTAAATACTGAGACATTTTTATTTACATGTGTTTCTCTTCATTTGGTACTAATATGTGAACATATCTCTACTTAATTACTATCAAAGTATACACACAATCCTTTATTTTTCTTTGTTCTCATCTTATGTTATCTTTTACTTTTTTGCCATGCTTTATCTAATTTTCCTTAGTTATAACTTTTAAAGACTACATAAAGACTTGATAAGCCACAATTATTCATTTAACATTTGTCTTAATTTTAGACATAACTTCTAATTTGTTCTATTATTTTTAAAAAATATCTATTGTGTGTGTGCATGTGTGTGTATGTGCGCATGTGTGTGTGTGTGTGTGTGTGTGTGTGTGTTACTGAGGCATGAACCCAGGGCCTTCACTCTGAGCTACATCCTTAGTCCATTTTATTTTGAGGCAAGATTTTTTTCCTAAGTCTGTAAGTGGCCCAGGCTGGGCTTAAACTTGCAGTCAATCCTTCTGCTTCATTCTCGCAGAGCGTTGGTGTTGACTACTTTTTAGGATAAATATTTTCTAACAAAGACTACTCCATTCCTTGTAGTTATATATTACATCTATGTAAAGTTACTGCCTTTCTCCCTTCCTTACTTGGAGGTTCTAGCAATGACTGAGAAACCTAGGGTGGTAAAGCGTACTGCCTCACTGGGTATTTTATCAACACTGGGTATTTTAGAGGATTTGTTCATTTAACAATTATCAAAGTATCTCAGAAAGTTGCCTTAAATTTGTATATCTTAGATCCATAGCAGGGGATAACATTTTGTCATGAGCATTTTACTTACATCTTCTATACTTATTATATTAACATCTTGTTATAATATTTTACTCTTTATATCTTCCATACTTATTATATTAACATATATTAACATAATGACTGTTACTTATTTTATTAATATAGATTAACATAATGATTGTTACTGGTACTTATAAAGTCAAACCTCTTGATGAAATTTAATAGCTTCATTTATTTCATTTGTGTAAAAGAAATAAGGAGTTCTAAACTGACAAAGGAAAAATATGGATGGTAAATGAAAATGAATTATCAGTTGGCAGAATGTTTTACGATACAGCAAAGACCTCAGTTTTGAAATTCCACCTTCTTAAATTACAGACTCATTTTCTAGGTGTCCAAGTCCACTTCTGTTTCTCAGTCTCAGGGATTTGGCAGGAAGCAGGCCCATGGCCAACCCACACACCACAGGTGCACCCCAGGGGACTCACAGGGTGAAGGCGATGCTCTCACTCTCTGCCACTGTGCCATACAGAGAGATCTCGAAGGCCTGGTTGGTCTGAGTGTTACTTTCAGTCCCAGAAAAGTGAATCTTTACTTGGTAATGAAAGACTAGAGGGGAGGAAATCGGAACACAGGCTGATTAGTCTTCATGGAAACATTCAGTCCCCAAACAATCAGGCACTTCAGACTCAAAGAACATATCCCTCTAGCACCCAAACAGGAAATAAAGGTCTTGAATGTTACTCTCTTTCAGAAAAAATGTGGCTGTAGTAGATGGGAAACCCAAGTGTATCTGAACTTCCAGGCAGTTCCAGACTGCAGTAGTAGGGAAGGCAAGTCAAAAGCCCCAACTCCAGTGATGCTCGCTCCATGACTGCCACCTACCCTGGCCATCTTCTTAGCATCTGCACCAAGCCCATTTGACATTTCCTACTGCGTCACTGTGAGAGACCATACTTGTGCTGCTTCTCATTTCGTGATTATCTCCACACGCCCTTCCCTGCCACTTCCTACAGTTCAGAGGATCATGTCCACCCTCTTTATTCCTCCATCTCTAGCACAGGAAGACACCCATGGCTTGCGACGAAGCTCATTTCACTGACTCAGCTAGTGAGGCCATGAGGACTGTCTTGAGAGCCAGTTTCCAAAGAGGTCTGGTTTAGGGAGAGCCCATGGAACGAGAAACTTGAACTTCTGCATCTCTTCTCTGCCTCCCTCCAGCTCTACTCCAAACCCTGAGCAAATAGCCCTGGGGAGAAGTTACAAAGATAGGAAGGCAGCAGCCTAAACAAAGCTACTACGATGGGGAAAATTGCTATGCTGCTTTTTTTTCTTTTGTACTAATATTTGGGTCAGTTTTGGTCATTCTTTTCTTATTTGTGCTGTTGTCTATTAAATATGCTTTCTTTTAGGCTGGGGAACAGATTTCTTCACAGGAATGCTTTACAGTGGTACAAACTATATTTTAATGCTGTTTTGAAATGTATTCTTGTGAAACAAATTTCACTATATTTTGTCTTGGAGCTTTTGATAACAATCTCTATTTTATTTGGCTACATTTCTTTTTGTAATAAAAATAACTAGCAAAAACAAACAGAAAAAAAAAACAACTAAATGTCCTCAGCTACTAAAAGGTAAAGCAAAATCAAGTTTAGGATTAAACAGAGCTCTCGGAGCCAGGGATGTCTGCCTCACAAGCACAAGGTCCTGAGTTCAATCTCCAGTACAAAACAAATAAACAAACAAGCATAAAAACCGCACAGAAAAAGTCTTAAACAGAGTTGTTGCTAGCAGCACACAGACCACGGCAGGAGAGGCTCGGAGTGCCAGGGGACAGGGGACGCTGACAGCCCTGAGCAGAGGTGTGAGGTGCAGGATGAGGGAGCCCCCTCCACGCCTCACACACGTACGCCCTCATTCTGAAGAGAGAGTGAAACTGAGGGTTTCCTCACTGCCTAAAGGACAGATGCTCCAATTTCTATGCCACCAAATGCACTGTATTCCACAGAGTCCAACAAAGCGCCTTGCAAGCTGACACAGATGGCCGATATATTTTATTCTAGGAAACTGTTCTTTAATATCTGCCCCTCCCTCAGGCTCCACAGAAGCCAGCCTTTCTAAGACTATTCATCTCATTATTCCCACTCCAGTTTCTCCTCCATTCCTTCAGGTCTTGTTCTAAGGTAGAGGGTAAGCTTGAAATTCAAGAGAAACGAGTTCATGGCAAAATGGACATATCTTTACAGGTTTGCTGTATTCTTGCCTCTCAGGTACAGTTAAATTTTTTAATACAGATGGTTTTTTGCTTTCCTGTAAAGCGAACTTTGGAAGTGGCAAACTTTCTGAAAAGGGCCAAAGATTTAATATTCCAGGCTCTATGAGCCATATCCTTTTAGTCTCAACTGCTCAGCCTCTCCCCTGGTGGGATGAAGGGAGCCTTAGATAGCACGGAAGTGAATGCGAGAGGCCATTTTCTTAGAAACTTCATTTGTAAAAGCAGGTGGTAGGCTGGATTTGGCCCAAGGGAAATGATTTTCTGACTTCAGGGTGCTGTTCCAAATTAGCTGTGAGCCCAGTACAGACTGGCTAGCTCATGTAATGTTTAAAGTTACAGAGGAGGGTAGCAAGTGAGGCGGGAGCCTGACTGACAATGAGAAATAACGAGTATCACCAAAACAGACCAATGCCACAGAAACGCAAGTGAGGACTCAGGGTTTAGTGACATCCTTTCTCCGTCTCTCTTCCAGGGCGGACAGTGCACATCATGCAGTAGGCATGATCAAAACAGGACTCCCTGGCTGTCCTTTCTCCAGCCTACCTTTGTAGGGCATCTGAGAACGAGTCTTCAGGTACATCTTGCTGCTTCTTTTGGCTCTGACCTTGTTGATCTCATAGCCCAAGTTGTTGCACCGGTTCTTCCTGCAACTCAGGCAGAGCCCTTTGTCAAAGGCTTCTCTGGAGTTGCACCTGTAGGCCTTACTTGGGTTCTCCTCATTCAACAGGGAGTCAATGAAGAGATGAATGGAGCGCTCATGGGAGCACTTCACTAGTTGGTCCACATCTGGGGCAAGAGAGGCACAAAAGGAATTTTAGTTCTGCAGCAGTCATGATGGATGCATCATTTTGCGCGTCTAAAATAGGGCAGATATGGCATTAGAATGAAACGACCCCAGACTCTGCTTTTGTGCAACTCAGAATATAGATCTGATTTAGGAGGTAGTCCTGTTGGCAGCTGCTCACCTACCTCCAAGACTGTCAAAGCTGCAAGTTCGCAGGGAACTTTTGACTTTTCTTCTATGAGTGGGTTTATGAAACAGCAGGGTAAAAGGTAGTTCCCGCGGTTTATCATATTCCCCTCTTTTATACTGAAAATGATGAACAGTCATAGGTATTTCTAGAAACCTACTGCTAGAAACCACATTGTAAAGGGCACAGTTGTTAAATGGATAGTGCTTTATCACACACATGGGCAATTGAGGGTTATGCCCTCTTAATGTATTTTTTACATCAAATGAATTTTAGAAATAATCAGCAATGTCTTCATAATGGGTTTATTGCCTTAAACTTTTATAACACTTAAAAACAGAGCTCTAAGTTCTCTAATATGTGCAAAACTACTGTGTATACTGACCCCAGGAAGGGTGCAGTGCCCATAGATCTGCAAAGGACCCTTAAAAATCATAAATTTGCCACAAGCTAACATGATCATTTGAACCAAATATTAAGTTAACATTAAATTATTTACCTTCTAAAAATTGTAGGAGATTTATTGTAAGGAGTAGTGATATCTTTATGACTTACTTCTCTCTTAAAAAAGACTAAAAAAGTTTTGGACTAATTAACATCTCCTACTTATTCAGAAAAATTCATTTTTTTCTCTAATTGTGTCTATTGGTACTTTTTAGGTATACAGTACAGTTACATTCATTACTGGGATCTTGTACCTTTACATGACAGGTCTTGGTTCTCATTTTTTCCCCTTGTCCCTGCCCTCCCTTCACCCCCTCCTGACCTCCCCATTTACAAACACTTTATTTCCATTTTTTTCATTTTCTCCTATTTTTTTCTTTTCCCTTATTACCTTTCCCCTACCCTTATTACCCATCGCACTTTCCCTACACCTTTAGCTCTTTTCTTCCTATTTCTCATTGTCAATTATATCATTAGGATCTTACGTACTATTATAGTTTCAGAAAAACTCATATTCACTCCATTAGCTTTGCAAATATATCTGAATTATGAAAACACATAGCCAGATAACACTGTACAATGCTATGACAGAGGCCAGCAGAGCTTTCTGGTATTGAATGTAGTCTACAGTACAACAAACAGAAGGTCAGTTGGCTGGCTGGCAAGGAATTATGCTGAATATAGTAGAATGCTTCAGAAACATACTTTGTACAAACATGTATAATTATAGACCGTTTTTTCCCCTGAGTGCTAAGGATGGAAAACCAGGGCCTTTTCCATGCCAGGCAAGTGTTCTAGCATTGAGCTACAGCCCCACTCTCAGATGCATGTATTAAAAAAACATCCTTTGAGGGTAGTAGGTAGGACTCTAGGTCAATAAGGCTTAAGAACAAAACCACATTTCACTGACTTCTAAGTCACATTTACCTCCAAGGCCCCTCTCGGCAATCACACGGATAGCTTCCCCGATGTTGCAACCCGGCTGAAAAGTGCCTCCATTGGGGTAGATGTCAACGTGCCCCACTGGTTTCTGGATTCCAATGCTTCGGCCTGGTGACCCCCTGGTGAATGTGTGTAAGACATCTACAAAATTCGCATCATCAGGAGAAAGGCGACTGGGAGCTTCTGCATTCTCAAAGTTGGGGCCGGCTGGATCCAGGCCTTGATGGGGAAAACACACACACACAGATTTTACTTTCTGATGTGAGAAGTGACAAATTATGTGCAACCCCACTACCACAGCATGCAGCAGAGGGAGGAGGGGAACACTTTTCAGAGAACACGCGGGCATTCTGAGCTTAATTCTGCTCTTCTCCTGAGCCAACACTGGCGAGCTCAGGGGAGCAGGAACCTGTATCTTATTCCATGAGAGGTAATCCTGCCAGGCACATGCCCCAGAAGGACACCACATACGTTACTCAGATTCTCTCTCAGAATATTGGCTGCCTGGACTCCTGGGAAAAGATGAACGAAAGTGCCCCTCTCTCTCACCCGTAATTCTGTGGACCTTCTTATTGGTCCGACTCCCAGCAATGCCAGCAGCATGGGCTCCGAGGCTATATCCCAAGAGATGAACTTTGTCTACAGGGTAGTTAAATTCATCCTTTGGAAGAAAAAATATAAAAGTTTTAATAGTGCATTCTCAAAGATCAAAGTGAAAAGAAATAAAATGAATATACACATTGTTTTCCAAAGTATGCATACTATAATAAATTAATTTTCTTCAATGTTATATTACAGACACATACTCTCTAGTGTTGAGTTTTCTCTTTAACTACAGATTTTCATACATCTGAAATTATGCACACATATAAAAGTATATGCAGTAGATCAAAATTCACAGGTGCACATATAGTGTGTGTGTGTGTGTATTACCTTTAACCTATTTTCCCCTAGTCTAAATACCCTGCAACACTTTATTCTTTCAAGTTAACCAAGTAATGACTTATAATCAGAAAATTTAACAGTGAGAAGAGATCAGAGACACATTGAGTCCAGGCCCACCATTCAACAGGTAAGCAGCATAGGCCTAAGGACATGATCTAATTTTTCCCAAGTTCACTAACCTGATTAGAAGAAAAGAACTTTTGTCGTTTGATGGTTTGCCCAATAAACACGGCTTATAATTTTTACCCCCAATGATCTCACTTATATCATTTGTCCTTGACAAAATGTTAGCTTCCTTTCACCCTCAAGTAACTTTCACAAGTAATTTTCAGGGCATGATCCACAAAAGCTGGCGGGCGGGCCTCTGCAGGTGGGTAAACCCTGGGCTAAGTCTGAGCTCTGAGCCTTGAGCCATCTTGTAGCCCATACACCACCCCAGCTATTAACCTCCCAGCTCAATTCCATCACTCCCGTAAACCACGGGGCTGGACCATATATATCTGAACAAAAATCTGGATCCTTAATCCAACTAAGAAATAACTATTGCTGATATTTCAATCAGAGGTTGGCATTCTAACAGGAGGCAAAGCAAGACACAATTTCCATGTGCCAGCCAACTGGTGGGGAAGGACGTGGCTGAACACACCGACTTCCCTGTGCCCACTTGGTGGTCTCAGCAGATCTATTCACTGAAAACATCAGACAGGGCAGGGCAGAAACTAGTTATTGGCATAGCAGTCTTCTCATTATTATCATGATGCTGTTTTCGGCCAAAAAATAATGCATCCCAAAGATTTGGATTGCCCCAGAAAATATCTACATTGAAGGACCAGGGAGAAAGACCAGGCATTTTCTATCTCTAGCCAAGAACTCTGTTCGGGATACGCAGGCTCCTTCCCCAGGTCTTACCTCCATCCAGTTGATAAACCTGGCTACATCTTCTCCCACCAGCTTCGTGTAGCCGGCAGACACCGGATAGTGCTGCTGGGCCCGCAACAGCCAGTCCACCACGATGACATTGGAATCTGGTTCCCTCTTGTACAGGGCAGCTACAAGTTTCGGTACCCAACTCTCATACATTCCTGTCACCTGAAGAGGTTGATACATAACTTCTTAAAAGAGCCACCTACAACTTGCTAGACACGATCTCTCAATACATCTACACGAAATGACAAAAGTGAACTTCCAGGAAAGCTCACTGGCTCAGGCAGAAAGGCCAAACCCCAAAGCATGTTCAGCTTGTGCCTTCACAGGTAAATCTGAGTATGCAAAAGGGATGCGCTGAGCTCAGGGACTGCAGATTGGGTTTATTACACTTTCAGTCTTAATCATGTTTTTTTTATACACTCAGTAAAGCTTTAATAATTCATACTATCAGAAGGAAAGATCAGCCTGAATTAATCAAAATTTTAGAGTAGAATTGCAGGCTATTTTTAAAGAAATTCAGTTTAATTGCTTTCGGTTAGGCTAAGTGTTTCCGAACAGCTGTTTTGGGAGATGTAAACATGCTGTTTTTAAAATAAATAATCATTTTTTTCCTATGAAGAGTAGCCACAGTAATGGTTACTTGACAATGTACTAAAATGGACAAAGAAGGTTCTAAAATTCAGGTTTAAGATTGTTAATACGAGACCTGTAACACCCAAGTCATATTGAGCATAAGTCCAATAAGAAAATAGGAGTCTTAGGTTCACAACCATAAGGAACTTCACTTGGAACCTTGACCTCACGTGGTGGGTTCTTTCATATTAGTCCTTTTTTTTATCCTCTATTAGCTAGACTCGAACAACCAAAACATTAGCTCCAGCTTCACTCTTGACACTCAATGCACTGCATCATGTTTCACCACTTTGCTGTGTGCTGTGGTGGAGATATCAGGAGGTGCTGAGTCCAGTCCCATGGCTTCCATTGATTATTTCTGTTAACCACTGTCACTACTTCCCCGGGCAACCAATAGACAAAGGGTTTAGTCTCAGACGATCTCCAAGTTCCCCTCCACTTCATAAATTTCTGTCTGTGGCCGTTCTGGTTCCCAAACTACCAGCAGTAAAAAATGCCAGCTCTCTAGCTATTTTAAGCATGGAGAGAAAACAAAGATGAAAAAGTATAAAGGTGATGTTAGTCCACTAGGAGTTTAGGTAAGCCTCCTTTGAACAATCTCAGGGAGACTGTTTCAGGTCCAAGTGCAGAGTGGGTCTTTGCAGGAACCAGCTGGACACACACTGGGGGCAAAACCCTGAGAAAACGGTCCTGCTCCACCCCCTTGCCCCTTTCCTGGCTAGGGTGCTTCCCACTCCTTGCAGCTAGCTGCCTTTCCAGACTGAGGGAGATGAGGTCATTTCTGCAGAATGCATATTAACTGTGCCTTGTCTCAGCCACCCTGGGGGCCTCCCACTTCACAGAGAACCCTGTGCTTCTAGCAAGTAAACCCAAGCAAGCGAAGCTGCAGTTACGGCTGTGTCTGAGCTGTGTTTTGGGATTCGACGTATACAAGCACAACATTCTTGGATATCCTCACCTCACTCAGCCTGTGCCCTCCTGTGACCCAACAGCTCATCGCAGATAAGGCAGGAAAGTCCTGTTTGCTCCAGGCCTCTTTGCAAAATATTTTTACATTATCAGTGTTTCCAAGTTAGGCAGTAGGTAAAAGGGCAAGTAATCTGATTTACTCCCACAGGAGGTGATACTTTTATTAATTAGTTAGCAACTAACCTAATCACTCCTCTCTGTCTTTTTGATTCAAGATAAAATCCAGATAAAAGTAACCCCAAACAAAGGACGTGAAAACTCCAAGTACCTACTCCCCTCAACTTAGAGAAAGTATTATTTAGGTGTTTCTACTGAAGTGGATCAGATCAGTACCACTTTTAGAAATTGTTGCCTGTCCAGTCAGGCATGTCACTGTCCCGAAGCCCTCCCAGCCTCCTGTACAGCACCCACTGGCAAGTTTGCTGACATAAGCCAAGATCAGCGTGTCTGGCTCTGTTATCATCACAGACCAAACAGCTCTGGGTGATAAGGAAACTCCGTCCCCTGGCCAGAAGCCTGGAGTCTGAGCCCAGCCAGAGCCCGGCCACTCAGAACATCAGGACACAGGATGTGAAGAATGTCAGCAGGCTGAGTGGGGCCATGGCACCAGGTACAGGAGCTGGAACTGTGTGGGCGCTGGCTCCTCATGTCATCTTAGTGTGAGACGAAAACATTTTTCAAATATCCCTAAGGAGATGTCTGGGAGTATTCAGTTTATTCCTACTGCAGAAATGTTTTTATTAAGCTGACACTTTTTTAAAAAGTGTTAAATACCACATGGCATATGCAGCCAAAATGCTTCTGAGAACAGCAGACTCTTTAGTTCTATCTAAACCTCTTCAAATATGAAAAGATTAATGTTAGGAATTTAAATTTTGTCATAAGCTATGTAATTTATTATACTAACTCCAGTAAAGTGAGCTATTTAACAAAATAAGCATCTGTGTAAATTATATTAATAGCTGCCTTTATCTCCATAAAAATTATAGCAATTATTCTATAATATCAATAACAGACACTTTAGTATTGTAGGAAAACAAATCAGGAATACAAGCATATATGTATATGCATGTATATGCTAATTCTCATTAGAATTTAGTGCCTATGAAAATATTCACAAGCTTTGACATAATATATCATTAACAGTCTATTTTCTAAATCCTTTTCTTCTCTTCATTTTTATTTTTTATTTTTTTTTACCATAGTGGGGATCGAACCTAGGGCCTCATGCACACACCGCAAGTGTTCTACCCCCGATCTATATCCCCAGTCCTTTATTAAAATTTAATTTTGACAAGATCTCACTGAATTGCCCAGGTTGACCTCCAACTTAGGATCCTTCTGCCTCAGCCTCCCGAGTAGATGGGATTACAAGCATGCGCTACCACACCTGGCTATAAATCCTTATTAACAAACAATACAATCTGCTCCCTAGGGATTAAAAACATTAAAAGCCAACTAAAGCATTCAAGTAAGAACTACACCAGGTAAGGTGATTACGTGGCATACTTAGAGAGGAGTGCTTTATAACTATTTCAAACAAGTAGATTGTACTACGCTTCCCAAACACCTGGCATGGCAGTTTCCTGGCCAGCCCTCTTCCTCCTCCAGACAGGCCCCCTAAAGTTTAAACTGGAGACCACTGGACGTGTGGGGATCTTAGGGAAATTTGCCCAAGCTCTTTGGTGAAGCAGCACGAAAACCCACGCTCCTTCCTCTGCTCCAGCCTCCGCTCACTCCCACAGGCGAGTTTCTTCAGGAAAGGACTTTCTGCTCTGTGTGAGGCGAGTTGGGGATCACGTCACCCTGCACTCACTCCCCACAGCTGTACCCTACATTTGCCTCTGCACCCAAGCAGCGTCTCCCGTCTCACTTCACAGGAAGGCTGCTGTGGCGAAATAAACACAGGCATCATCCCAAGGAGGTATTCATGAACCTGTGATACCAGATTCCACCCTGGCCCCTAGTTGTCTTTATTCATCAGAGAGCAGGCAGATACGTGGGCTGTAGACCCACCGCTGGGTCCCCAATATTAGGGCCTGGTGGACCCTCATCCGTGCCTTCCCACAGAGCCGCCTTACCGACCAGCCATGGATCACCACGAAGGTTTTGCTGCTGTGGTTGAAGTGGCAGTTAGCTACAGATTCTGTCACTCCAGGAATGAGGTGGCACGTGTCCTCGGCTGTGTCCTCAGGGGTCCTTAGGGCAAATTTACTTTCGATGTCCATAAAATCTTTTCCTCCTACTGGAAAAGGGAGAATTGGATTGGTGGTTAGCTGGAGGGTTGTTTTTATTTACTGGAATGGTATGTTTTAGGTTCACAAGTACCCACTCAGAATGCTATATTTGTTTCTGCTCTCTCTCTCTCTCTCTCTCTCTCTGTGTGTGTGTGTGTGTGTGTGTGTGTGTGTGTGTGTGT